GCAGGTTCAAATGTTAGGTGATGTAAAGAGATAGGGGAAAATAGTAAGTTGAAAAGGTAGAAGTGGCAAATACCAGAATGACAATGTGGGTGAGAGAAACAGCAAGGCTAGGGACAGGGAAGGGAGAAAGACAGGAAACTGGTCCAGGGAGAGAAAAGGGGAGGTTAAAGTCTGTGAATGGAGAGATCGCATAAAGCGGAAAGGCCACTGCAGAGAGAAGACTGGGTGGGCCAAGACATAGTGCCTTCCATTTCCACTCTCCCAGCCTCAAGCCTTGCTCTTTCCCTCCCGCACCACCCTGTTGGGCTAGCTGGGCCCCCACATCGGCCATTACTGACTAGCTGCACCCACTCTTGCAGGAGTGCTCCCAATAGTTTCTCAAACTCCCAAATGTATCTACAGATCCAAAAAAGTTTGGGACCCTGATCTAGCAAAACCGTTGACCCCAACTGCTCCACAATGTATTCCAAAATTCAAAGAGCAGGTGGAATGGGTACAGCAGTCTTCCCCAAATACTCCAAATACTCCAAATGTGTTGGACCTCAGTTTCCATCATCTCCAACCAACATGAGCAATTCTGACTTGGGATTCGGGGAACTGTAGTCCTCATATCTGAAGGAGGTCCTATGTTAGAGTACAAAATGACAGGAGACAAAACGTTTTTCTATATATTTAAGGTATTTAATATTCAATAATACTTATTTTATCCATATACTACCATCTATGTAAATGGCATTTTATAAAGAACAGTACTACAGTTCCCTCCCCTAAGAGGCTTACAGTCTAACACAGACTGAGGGAAACAAAAGATTGGGGGAAATAGAGATATGGGTAAGCAGGGAAAGAATATGTGATTACTTCCATTACCCATATTTTGGCTTATTTGTAATAAGATATAGGGACAAAAAAGGGCCCGGCCCAATGGCTTCTTGGATACAATGAGTTTTAAGGAGAGACCTTAACATAAGAGGTAGTTGCACAAAAGCATTCTGAGGGATATTTCCAGACATAAGGGGCAGAAAGGGAAAATAGATTTGTTTCAGGGAGCAGATCTTTTGATGGCTGAGGTTGATGAAGGTGATAAAACAGATTCCACCAACAATTGCTTATTTAGAATAGTTAAATCGTATTTTTAAGGTAACTTTGTTGTTATCATATGCCATCAAGTCATCTCTGACTTATGGTGACTCTGTGATGGAAGGCCACCGAAATATCCTATCCATGACAGCCCTGCTCAGCTTTTGTTAAAGTAAATTACAGACATAATATCAACAAAAACAAATCAAATAACCAAGTATGCATAGTCACTACCTGTCTCCCCAAGAAATTAACTCCCTCATAACTTTAAGTAATTTAAGAAGGGATTTGGCCTTTCCCAATTGAAGACTGGCATCCTAAGGACATTCACTTTAAATCAATGTGACTTACTTTTAAGAACTGTATTTAAGATCACATTATGTGAATACGTAGGAGAACAAAGTACAACCCAAATCATGGGTACGCACCCTGGCAAATGGGCTGAGTTTAAACCTGGGAGTCCTTTTAAGGCTTTGCCAGACTATATGCTAAGAGATGTGCACTCCTGCCACAAGATCTGGGTGAAGCACAACTCAGATCACGTCTTTTCTTAGGTTAAATTATCTGTATTGCTTAACTGCAGAACTACAACTACAAAATTATTCTGGACACTTTTTAACTGGTACTTTGCTCATCTTCCTTTCATTCCATGTACTTTAGCATATACTTCCTTTCCTCTCAGTATCATTACTTGCCTATTTGCTCCTCATTCCCTTTTTTCCTTCTTGCCACATGTTCTTCCCGCTTGTTTCTCTACACCCCCAACCAGTTGTCCCTTCTCTTCTGCCCTCATCACTCTGTGGGTCTCCCTCTACACACCCACCACTCAGTTATCTCCTTTTCCTCTCTGCAACCCACTATGTCATCTTCTTGCCCATTCTTCCATCCCCACAAAGCTCTCTGCACCACCATTTTCCTTGAGCGTTGCCAACTGACCAGTAGTTTGAAGGAAACCACTAGGTCTGTTCATGAGACTTTGACAAAAAGTTTAATTGCAGAAATCAGTGAATGAAGTATTTCTCCATACTGCACTTCAAATTCTTAAGGACTTAATGTGGCTGGTGAAAAGTTGAAAGATGGGCTTCTCATAGGCTTGGAGACTGAGGAAAGAGCACATCTCCCATTTACTGCCCCAAGTTTCCATAATGAGGATAAGAGTCTAAGACAGAACTAAAGCTTAAACAAAGAACTCTGAGCATTCTAATATATAAACACTCATTCTGCTTTGTCGCTGTGGTAGTAGCTGAACTACAGTAGTTAAAGAATGCGTTTACTGGATCTGCTCTAATATGTATATTTTCTGCTCTGCTTTCTTCAACACAAAGAGGAAGCGGCCTTGCACCAAGCCAAATCAATGGTCCATCTTGCTCTGATTGATAATGACTTTCCAGGATCTTCATACAAGGCTCTTTCTAGCTTCTTTTATGAGATACCAGGAGTGAACTTGAGAGCTTTTGCATGCAAAGTATATGCTTTGCCGCCAAACTACAACATTCCTTCTTGCTTAGCTGAGTAACCAGGCTTTCACTCTCCCATCAACTCATACATCGAAAGAATCTCAGACGCAGACAGGCCACCCACCCAGAGTGGACGATTGACTGTGACATAATAAATGAGGCCACTTGTATCTATGGCTCTGACACCAGACAGAGAAGAAGCAATACTGGCCTTAACTCATGTCCGTTAGTGAGCCTGTCAGACTGGGCTACAGATATTGCCCGGGAGTGCAAGGAAAAGTGTCTGGAATTATCTTACTGAGGAAGAAAATAGGAATCTCCTTGTAGACCCAAAAGGATATGCATGCATTGGAGAAAGATGGCTACCACATTCCAAGAACTTAATTTAGAAGATTTACTTAAACAGCAAGCTTCTGCTGTGTTTTCTATTTAAGTGATACCTTGGAGAAGCACTCATTATCTTACATTTTTAAAAAAACCAATCTTCTAAAACCCTTTCAGGACAAATAGCATAGCAATGGGAGTTGTCTTTCATTTCTAGTGATGTAAAAGCACATACCAAACGCCCATGATGCTCATGCTAATAAACTTTTGTTTTTATTCTGTCCTCCTTACTGTATTTGACATGTGCATTGAATGAAGGTTCACAATTCTAAGGCACCTTGGCTTAAGAAAAGAGCACAGAAATGATGACACTTACAGAAAATCACACATCCAAGATGTATGTATACAAAGTGAGGATACAAATGTCTTATATTCACAGTACTAATACTACCTTTATGAAACACATCTGGATCTTACAACTGCATAGCAATTGGGCACCTGATGCACTATAAATAGATAATATGGAATTGTTCCAAAGAGGGGAAGTAGTTTACCACTAATTCCTAACAGAAATAGCCCAAACTCAAGAGGAGACCCTGTTCCTCAACTAAACCCAACTTTTACAGATTGTTTTCATCTAGCATATTGCTATAGTTAAGGACCACTAATTATCCTACCTCATGAAAATGTTTAAGTTTTGAGGCTGAGGTACAGACTTAACCCTGTACCCTTTGAAGGTTTCATTGGACACTATTAGGCAGTTTCATTTTAGAAATGGATCATAATACAGAAGTAATTACATCACTCTACAAATCCACAGATCCAGATGCCCTCACAGATAATTTAGAAAGACTGCTGCAAGAAAATCACAAAGACACCAACCTGTTTTGCAGAGGGAAACTGAAACGGCAAACAAGAACCCCAGAAGCTAGTTAAGGAAAGAAATCTAAGTAAATGTATCCTCTATACAAGCCTTAATATTAAATTTAAGCACAACAGGGAGCGGCAGGGATAAGACAAAAGCTGCATTTCCCCGATCTTTTTTTCCTCTCCTTTTACATCGAGCACAAAAATTCAGACGAGATCCGTAGGTCACCCAGCCCACTCTTCCCAGTATGGAGCCTATATGCAGACAGATCCACCCTGCACTTCCTTTATGGATTTGCTTTGTTCTAGCAAGCGATCTCTAAGAGATGGTGACAAGACAGGAAAATTCCCTCTGGCGGATCACTTTCCTAAAGAGTTTGCCCACCATCTTCGTCCATTGTGCTGCCGTTTCAGACCTCCCCGCTATCATACGTGCGGAGAAGAATCAAGCCAGGACCTTTGAGGGGCAACCAAGACCCAGATACAAACACTTGTCCCGCCCACTCCGGCGGCCTCTTTCACCTAAACATGATTCCTCTGCCCATCCGCCCCGCTAGCCATGCCCACATCCTTCCACACGGTTCTGCAGCTTACTGATCGCTCCAAACAATGCGCCCCTCCCCCGCACCATCCGCACATCCCCCTCCCGCTCCCCCTCCCCCTCCCAGCCCCCATCCCCTCCCTCCTAGCCATGTAGAAAGTCCATGCAACATGACAGTGCAAGGAGAGTGAATGATTACCTGGGGGCGGCGGCGGTGGGGGCGGCGGGGGCGGCAGTGGTGCTAACACTGGGGGTGGGTGCACGGATCCCTGGCCTCCTGGACGCCCTAAAAGAGGCATTCAGGCGAATGAGAGCAACAGAAGCGCCTAATCCCAGCCGCTGTTGCTGCTACTGCAATGCATGGCTGATGCTCTGCTCCGCCCCTGTGTTGCTGATAAAGCTGCAGCTTCGGCTCGGTAAGAATGGAACTGCTGCTGCGCAGGCGCACTGGAACGCAAGTCGAAAAGACTTCGAGGGGAAGGGTAGCGCGCACGCGCCGAGGAGGTCTTGAGCGGAGCGGGCGGTCCGAGCGGGAGGAGGGGCTGGTCGGCGTTTTCAGCGAGGGGTTTCCGTTTCTGCCGGAAGAATCGCGAGGAGGGGCGGGCGAAGGGAGGGGGCCGAGTTTGGAATGGGCGCGGATAGGCTGCCGGGAGTCCGGGGAAAGAAGCGCGGGGTGCGTGCAAGAGGGGAGGGGCGGAGGAGGGGAGGGAGAGTAGCCAGAGGGCACGAGCGGGATGGAGGAGTTTGGAATGAGTGCCTGAACTGGGACAATGAAACCAGATCATATTTCCGCCCGCCCCACCCCCACGCACGAAATTTTATTTTGAAATACAGAATGACAATGATAAATCAAGATCACTAAAGAAACATACGCGTCCTCTAATTATAGCTCTTAGGAAGCAAATCAGTGGCTCCTAGACAGGGACTGATGGGCTACGGCATAGTTCAGATTCTCCTTGCAGAGCTCGGAGATCGCTCTGCAACCTCCTTCCCCACCAGTGTGGAAAGAACACTTCCAGCTGCTCTCCGAGGTCTGGGCAGCAACTTCAGAGAGGAGGAAAAGAGGCTGTTTTGCAGGGCAGGGAGGGAGATGCCAGGATGCAAGCTACCCTGATTCTTCTGCCTACAACCCTCCCCTTCCAAAATTTTCCAGCTGCCCGGCTAACAGAAGAGGCAGGGCAAGCGACAAGGAAGCAAAGATCGCTGGCACCATGCCCCCCATTCTGCAAAAGATGACCACGAGGAGCCTCCTGAGTTGGGGGGCTTGTGGCCATTGCTGTAAAGCTACACCGTCATTCTGTAACCATTATGCTTATGGAAATGCTACAGTAAAATAGCCTAAGTAGGCATGCGATCATTAATGAAAGTGAAAAGTACAATTCATACAGCATATAAAAAGGGCATATACAAATGTGTGCTATTTTGTGTGATTATCTTACAATTATAAAACCTGTTCGGTGAAAAAGCTTTGGCCTTGGGCAGTATGCAAATGAAATAAATAATGTTAACAACAATAATAATTGTGGGTAATAATAGCAACAATAATAATGTTAAAATTGGAGAGACTAATCCTGGATTTCAAAGGCAGTTGGAGGTACTGTACATACTAGGTGCATGCAGGGCAGAGGATTGTTAATATAAGAGTAAAGATCAGAGAAGTTACTTCAACTTAACTTGCTTAGAACACAACCTTATGCATGTTTAGACAGAACAATATCCTGCATTCCCAGTATGCCCCAGCTATGCTGACTGGGCTATGGTGGTAGTTGTAGCACTTTTGTCCTGCAGAAACATGCATAAGATTGTTACTTAAGGAAAAACAAAATTGTCTGTCAGTTCCCGTGTTTTGTGGCAAGAAAGAAAGGTGGTGCTTTGGAAGAACAATGCTAAGCTGCCTTGGGATGCTGTGAATACTAGGCCAAAGCACATCTGAAAAACACCATACTGGAGGAAGGCAGGACAAGAATATTTGTATGGACAGGGCTTTTCTGTATTTCCAGTAATGACAGTTTACTGGTACAGGCTTCAGAAAATACTGTAGATTTCCTACAGAAATAAAGACTTGTGAGTGTTTGAAGATTAACCACACAGTCCTAGACATGCCAGTTCAGAACTGTATCTCAGTTCTGTAAAGGAGGCTGATGTCCATATAAGTTTGCATAGGATTACAACTTAACAGTGAAAGACTGTGAGCTGGAGCTTATATCTGGTTAAGGAGGCATAGAAGCAGCAAAGCACAACTGCAAATACACTTTATTTTTGAAAGGATAAACTGTTTCAACAAAAGCACCCATCATTATTTGTTTGCCATCCACTTTCTACAAACTGAAGGACTGTTAAAGACTAATTGTTAAGATAATATTTTAGTAAGCAGTTTATTATGAAAATAACCGTACTAAATAGCTGTAATTCACATTGAGCTCTTCAGCATTATACTGCTTTTGTTTGACTCCACTTCTGCTATCAATAGAAATGACAGTCGCAACATCTGCCAAGTTAAGAGGTAACAGCCATAGGGACGCAGCACAAACAGAAGCATGTGCCTGGGCTCCTCTTCCCGAGTTTCCACTGTCTAACAAGTAACTAAAGTGAATAGGGCATCTAACCATGGTCATTACGCCCCTACCCTTTACGCAGCCTTCCTAACCATTATAGCTGCTTGCTTGTGCTGTGGTGAGCTACAACTGCCAACTGGGGATTTTCTGGATTTGGCATAGATGCACAACTTGTGGAGCTGGCTTCCCTTTAAGAATCGGATCCATAGCTTGGCGTGCTTCTCGAGCTGCTACTCCTGGATGACGAGCTCAGTGGCCTCATTAGCTGGGACCAGCTTACATCAGGAAAATGTGGGCCCAGTCATAGGCATGCATCCCTTATTAAGGGCCACATTGGGTTAATGTAACACACACTATGTGGGGCTTGCTTTGAAGTATCCAGAAAAAACTGGTTCAGTTTGTTAAGTGATGTACATCATATGTCTGATATTGTTTGGCGTTTTCCTATTTGTTTGGGGCCTACCCAGTTCAAAGCGCTGATACTGACTTTTCATGTTGGAAAGAGTCTAGGGCCACACAAACAAAAACACTGTTTCCTATCCTGTGAACCTGACCATGCATTCAAATCAACATCTGAGGCACTGCTCTGTGCATCCCTGCAGTTTGGCTACTGCAGAAAGGCGCTTTTCTGCAATGGCACCTGAACTGCACGCTGCCTTCCCACAATTTGGCTTCATCCTGCTTGCCTTTCAGCGGCCAGGTTCAGACAATGTGGGGCAGCACATTCATAGAGCACAACACCCATGGAAGCCACACTGCACTGGGGTCCCCATTCAGGGGCTGCCATATCATGCATGCCTCGTGAGTCCTTGCAGAACTCTAAAACAGATCATGGGTTGTGCAAAGCTTGCTCAACCTTTGCATATGCTATGCTCTCCAGGTTTCCAATTATCAACCCTGAACTGGGGTTGCATATTCAAAATGACACTGCATGTGGAGCAGACTTTTGTCTCCTGTGAACAGCCCCAGTAAGTAGTGAAGGGGTGACAGAAGAGAATTATGTTTTATGTTAACTGATTAAAAACGTAACTGTCCCTTTATCATTTTATATGTGTTGTGGGACTTGTTGTTTAATTGCTGTCATAAGACTGTTTGTGGGATTATGGTATTTAAGGAAATTGGAGAAATTTTAAATATAGATTTAAAATTTTACCGAGAATGGTGTTATTACTATTAATAGAAAAACAAGATATAAACGAAGCTAAGAAAGAATTGATTGAAAGTATGATAATGGCAGTTAGGCTAGTGATAGTTAAATATTGGAAACAGAATTGGGTTTTGCAAAGGCATGAATGGTATAATGAAATATGGAATGTGGTAATTAATGATAAACTGATGACTGAAAAATTAAAAAGGGTTAATGAAAGCAAATGAATATAATGAAATTTGGGAAGATTTTGTAAAAGCAGTACTGATAGAAAGCAAATGCTGTAAACCCAATCAAGATTATATGAATTTCTGGAGGGGATATGGGTATAATTGAAGTATATTATATATTATTAATTGTTATAGTATATGGACGATGGTAGTATTGGTCTCCGGGGTGGTGGATGCACTCTTTTATTTATTCTTTTTTTAATTATTGTGTTCTTGTTATGTTATATTATTATTGTTATGATTGTATTTATGTTTTTTTTCTGTCAAAAAAAAGGAGCGGGGGAGACTGTTTGTGGGCCTGTGTTGAATATGCAGAACTTCTAGATTTCTCCAACCTGGTGTCTCCTGGCTATTTTGAGCTAGCATTGCTAATGATCAAAGACAATGGAAGTTGCAGTCCCAAACATCTGAAGGACAGCAGCATAAGGAAGGCTGTATCAAACAATCACCCATTGGAAGACTAATTCAGGTCACAGTAGCAGTATCCCATGGTAACTGCAAGCAAACCACTACTAAGTGGAATCATGTAAAGAGCTGGTAGGTGCATATATCAGCTCATCTAATGCAAATTAGTTATCACCTAATACCATAGGAGCACCCTGTCATGATTATTCTCACAAAGCAAGACTGAGAAAGTTGTACTCTATTTCAATAAATGTATATACATGCAGTCAGGATGCCAAGCTGCATTGTTATTTGTGGTTGCAAGTTACAGAACCAGCATAGTGCTATTGCTACACATTCCTGACTTTTCCTAAGTGGTGTGAAATTCCAGAGGAAGTCCTATGGGTTTAGCTTCCTTTAGAGAACTGAAACATATGACATTCACTGGAAACATATGACATTCACTGGAAACATATGACATTCACAGCACCTCTACTGGTATATCACTTGTTCTGGTAGTGGTTTCTATTT